CGCAATAGTCACATCACAGGATATGCAATGTTGAGTTGGGATTATATTTGACCAGAAACCGCCGGTAAAAACACGAGATTTGTGGAAACACTGCAGAATTGAATAATAATGCTTATCATTGGAAAAGTGTTTTAAGGCCTGTGGCTTTGTAAGCATTAGTAAAGTTTCATTCATTTTCCTTTGGATTAGTCTCAGATTTATCAGGTCACCACAGCGGAATGAACCGACAACTATTACAGCAAATGTTTTACACAGCAGATGCCCTTCCAGCCGCAACCCAGTACTGGGAAATTAATAAAGATTCATTTTATTGAATTGTTTATATGACAAAGACTATGCAATGTTGTTTTACATTTGATTATTCAGTTTCTGAAAGCCAAAAAGCACTGTTTATTTCACTTTAATATTTGCTCTACTATATTTATTTATGACTGTAGTTTGTTTCTTATATCTATATAATATCTTACATAAAAAAAATATATTTACAGTATATATATTTCAGTCCCTTCAAAATCAACTTAAATTAAATTTGGCTATTTAAGTCATCTGGGGAAATTGTGTTTATATCACAATATATAATCGCAGAGAAAAAATAGGCAACACTTTATTTTGATGGACCATTTGAGTATTAGTAAACTGTCTGCTTGATATCTGTTGATCATGCTCTTTTAACAGACATTTAACTGACTATAAGAAACATGTCAATTTGCACTTACTCTAACCCTAACCCCGACCAAAGAGTCTACTTATAATCTAATGTGAATTAGTTGCAATGTAACCTAAATTCAACAAATGGACCATCAAAATAAAGTGTGACCAAAAAAAAAATTGCAATGTCAAATTTTTCCAATATTGTGCAGCCCTATTTAAGATGCTTCAAAAAACCAACCTGCAAAGCTACAGTACTGTTCAAAGTAAGTTTTAGGCACTTGTGTAAAAATGCAGTAAAATGAGGATACTTGCAAATATATTGCATAAATACATTTTATTTATTAATTAACTTATATTAATTACATCAAATCAAAACCCGGTTTTGATTTTTCAGGTAGCTTAGTTTTTTAAAGCCTCTTAGAATCTTGCCAAAGTTCTTTTTGTCTGTCTGTCTATCTATCTATCTATCTATCTATCTATCTATCTATCTATCTATCTATCTATCTATCTATCTATCTATCTATCTATCTATCTATCTATCTATCTATCTATCTATCTATCTATCTATCTATCTATCTATTTTTACATTTAGTCATTTAGCAGACGCTTTATCTATCTATCTATCTATCTATCTATCTATCTATCTATCTATCTATCTATCTATCTATCTATCTATTTTTACATTTAGTCATTTAGCAGACGCTTTATCTATCTATCTATCTATCTATCTATCTATCTATCTATCTATCTATCTATCTATCTATCTATCTATCTATCTATCTATCTATCTATCTATCTATCTATCTATCTATCTATCTATTTTTACATTTAGTCATTTAGCAGACGCTTTATCTATCTATCTATCTATCTATCTATCTATCTATCTATCTATCTATCTATCTATCTATCTATCTATCTATCTATCTATCTATCTATCTATCTATTTTTACATTTAGTCATTTAGCAGACGCTTTATCTATCTATCTATCTATCTATCTATCTATCTATCTATCTATCTATCTATTTTTACATTTAGTCATTTAGCAGACGCTTTATCTATCTATCTATCTATCTATCTATCTATCTATCTATCTATCTATCTATCTATCTATCTATCTATCTATCTATCTATCTATCTATCTATCTATCCACCCATTTTTGTATAATTAGAATGTATTTAACAAGTGTACAATTCTGTATAGCAAATGTGTCTCTAAAACCAGGAATTCAGGATTGGGCACAAGAAGATGCAAACATATGCGCGATTCTCCTTGTGCTGGCAGACATACAAACAAACGCCACATAAATCTTATAACAGACACATGCTGTGTGTTTCCACCCATCAGTTTTAGTGATCACACAGGCAAAAAAATGCAGAATTGGATGCTACTGATTGAACTGATGAAACCGAGAGATTTATCACCACACGTATGCGTCACACAGACTGAAATGAACTCTGACATGCATCCACTTGCCTTTAACGGTATGTAATCAAAAATCGAACACAAATACCAGCACCTAAGTCGAAATCCAATGCACATTTCTCATAAACTTAATGAAAAGGAGATGTGTTTTTCCTAAGACAACAGTGCCATCTTGTGGTTAATCATGTAAATAACGTCTATACATTTTTAATTATACGTGCCTGGATCACCAAGAATCTGCTTTTTTTATATATAAATCAAGGAAATAAAATTCAAAACTAAGTTTCAGGTATCTAAAAATGTGGAAGTGTGATTTAAGTGACTTGGTATGATAGCAACATGGCATCTTTTCTGAACAAGAAGTATACTTCATCTTCTCGAGTTCATCTTATGAAGTTTACTTAAGTACTAATAAGTAAATATAATATACTTAGTAATAGACGTCACAATAGCATAGTGGGTAGCACAATCACTTCACAGCAAGAAGGTCGCTTGCTCGAGCCTCGGCTGGGCCAGTTGGCATTTCTGTGTGGAGTTTGCAAAGACATAGGGTAGGGTGAATTGAATAAGCTTAATTGTCCATAGTTTATGCATGTGATTGAGTGTGTATGGGTGTTTTCCATTGCTGGGTTGTGGCTGGAAGGGCATCCACTGCATGAAACATATGGATAAGTTGGTGGTTCATTTCACTGTGGCGACCCCTGATTAATAAAGAGACTAAGCTATGTACTATTAGTAAACTTGTCACTTTAAAACTTGAATACATTCTGCGACTAAATTGGCCCTCTTTTTAGTATGTATACTTTTAAGTGTAACATTAATCAGCGCAATAGCCTAGTGGTTAGCGGGCCGACATATGGTGCAGTAGCATGTAAGGGCGTCCCGAGTTCAAATCCCAGCTCGAGGACATTACCCAACCCCTAATCCCCCTCACAACCCCCTCTCGATCTCCAACTTCACTTCCTGTCTCATTACTGTCCTATCTAAAAAAGACCAAAAATAAATAATAAAAAAAATTGTAATAAAAAAATATTATAAAAATTGTAATATTAGTAAACTTGAATGGCGCAAGTAGTCCAAAATTGAATTTTCTAATGTCTTATACTGAAGTATAGATTTTTCCTGTTTGTTTTATTTTTCTCTAAGGTAGGCCTTACATACAATTATTTTTGCTGCTTATTCAAACTACATATTTAAAATCAGTTAAAACAACACCATTCTTGAAGTTTTTTTTTTTCAACTTAATTGTTTTATTTTCAATCCACTTAAATTTGTATAAACTATTAAGTTAACTTAATCGATTTGTGTTGGGACAACATGAAAGAATTGCACGGAACCCAGCATTTTTTACAGTGTAGTTAAATTGGGGTGTTTAAACAGCTTTAATAAAAATTAGAGAAACATATTACCCACTCATGTGCGTCTTGAGACAAAACAATGGCACTGACATATTTGAATACCCATCACTGTGAGTTATTTTGAGTTGAGAAATGCTGTTTAGTCTCAGACTAACCTTAAGCCTCGTCTCTGACACCATAATATTGTTTGAAAAATGTTTAATAGGCCACTCAATCAAAGGAATAAACACAACTACAAGTGCTCCGAATACACATTTAATCTTTTTAAGTACAGTATATATCAGTCAACATGTATAGGTCAAATGTAGGCTTGTCTGTACTCAAGTATACTTACTGTATATGCACTTACATTTCAAGGACTTAAAAAGTAGACTGAAAGTTGTTGTTTTTTGTGTTTAAAATAAATATACTAACAGCACATTTGAATAAACGTTCATAAGGGATGGTTGTTTGTGACAGTTTGAATAAAAAAAAAAAGAAAATGTTCATGTTTCACTCAGATTTACAGACAAGGAATGGTCTGAATAAGAGAAAACATTTAGTGAGCTGCAGTTCCATGAGTTAAAATGTCTTATTTGTGCCAGAGGTCAGATGAGAAAGACCAGACTGGTACAACTGATAGAAATGCAATAGAAACTCAAATGAACAAAGATCTGTAGAAGAGAATATCTAAAGATGTAAAAAGATGTGCTACAGCTGAAGAACAGCACAACAGTGGCACTCCTGATAGCTAAAAACGAAAATCTAAGGCTATATTTTGCTACAAAAAGGCTACAAATCTACAAAAAAAGTCTATATATATATATGAAGAGTTCAGATGCAAAAACCTCTAAATGCCTTCTGAAATGTTCTCCTAAAATGAGAATTTCTCTCAGCCTCCTGTTTATGTTCAGTTATTTCAATGAAAATAACTTATTTGTCACTATAAAATTAAAATTACACACCAACACACAGTTATCCTACACACAGGAGTCCGAGATAAATGGCTTTTAGAGGCTTTTGCATCTAAACTCTTCATATTTATATATTGTATTATAATAATATATAATATTTTTTACATTTGTGATATGTGTGCGTGTGTATGATTAATGCTACAGTATTTTGTTTAAAGAATGTGCATATACATGTTATCAATCGTTTTATCAGTATTCAGTTTTTCTGCATCTGTATTTGGAATTGTACACTTCATTGATCATGTACACATTGACATCACCTATTACTATATAACTGCAGGGTTATATAGTTGCAGGGCAACTATATAAGGTTGTTTATATGTAATAACTTTAACTGTTAAAAGCTATTAGTTACTAGTTAATTAGTTATTAGTAACTAATAAAGTTATAGTAACTAATAAACTTCTGAATTTGATTGTGCTGCAATAATGTGCACCTTTTGTAAAGCTACTTTGAAACATTAATTATTGTGAGTTGGAGAAAATGAAAGTAAAGTAGGGGGGAAGAAGCTGGAGAAGGTGTGCCTGGTCTGATGATTCTTTTACTCCAACATTCGGATGGTAAGGTAGGGTAAGAGTTTGGCATAAACAACATGAAACAAGCTGTAAAAGTACCTGGGTTACAGTCTGAGCCTGATGGAGAATTTCTTTTCTTCTTTGTTCGGCCCTCTGGGTGTGATATGAGTTTCTCTGACTCTGTATCACAAATAACACATCCCGCAGTTCTTCCATAAAGAGAAAGAGGAAAAAGCAAATAAATTATTATATATTCTCTATCATGAGTAAAATGTTCAGTTAGCTCAAATTAGGCATGTCCAGATCCAATCACATGATTAGAAATCGGGCCCAATCACACAGTTTCAGACTCGATCGGAAGCAGACGTTACCTCCCTATCAGGACAGAATATATAAGGATGTACACACACACACGCACGCACGCACGCACGCACGCACACAAACACACACACACACACACAGTTAATGTCAGAATTATTAGTCCCCCTGAATTATTAGCCGTTTACTGTTTTTCCCCAATTTCTGTTTAACGGAGAGCAGATTTTTTTCAACACATTTCTAAACATAATAGTTTTAAAAAATCATCTCTAATAACTGATTTATTTCATCTTTGCCTTAATGACAGTAAATAATATTTGACTAGATATTTTTTAAGACACTTCTATACAGCTTAAAGTGACATTTAAAGGCTTAACTAGGTTAATTATGTTAACTAGGCAGGTTAGGGTAATTAGGCAGGTTATAGTATAATGATGGTTTGTTCTGTAGACTATCGAAATAAATAAATAGCTTAAAGGGGATAATAATTTTGACCTTAAAATGGTTTTAAAAAATTTAAAACTGTGTTTATTCTAGCCAAAATAAAACAAATAAGACTTTCACCAGAAGGAAAAAATATTATCAGACATACTGTGAAAATGTCCTTGCTCTGTTAACAATCATTTGGGAAATATTTAAAAAAGAAAAACAATTCTAAGGGGGGCTAATAATTTTGCCTTCAACTGTATATATACATATTTTTTTACTATTTTTTTAACACATCTACAGTTATGCATATATAGTTCCTAAAAACACATTACTGGCTTTGCACTTTTATTTATTTATTTATTTATTTTTAGTTTACATGCCTGCCAGGTATTTTAAGTTGAGGTGCTATTTGTTTTTATTTGCGCTTTTTATTATTATTATTATTATTATTCCAAAAATGAAGAATTTATACTATTGATTACTTGATTGTTCGAGCTACCTCACAGAAGTGCTCTACTTGTTAACAGTTGTTAAATGTTAAAATAAGGTGAATAAAATAAAAATAAGAAACGACCTGGATTTGTTGCTTCCCTCTTGTTTATTCTTTTTTAAAGCATTATAGAAGTATCCAACCGGGTTTCGGTATCAGCAGATAGTCTAAATAAAATGACTCAGACTTGGACTTCAGGGCAAAAAAAAAACTGATCCGGACATCCCTATCTCAAATACATTCAAACTGGACATTTTGTAAGACTTTCTCCTAATCACAGATATCAAACTGTCAAGGCTGACTTAAAAGGCTGTTTCTCAATTTGCGTGCTTCAGCGGTTTTGCGTCCTCGTGTAACGTCATCATCAACTGACAAAGTTCAGTTTCAATACTCAAGACCACAAAAACGGAGGACGCGTGAAAGTTCCTGAACGCGTTATTGATATCGCATTGATGTAGACTTGAGCACCAAACTCGCTCTACGAGTCCCAGAAGTCATTGCGGCTGGAGGTGGAAAGTGCAGCATTTTACATAGATTTATTATAAAAGTTCAGAGATATAACTTAAATAACTCAGTAGTTTCCCTAAATGAAACGGTCAAAGTAAACATTACCATGAAAATCTTAATAAAGGAATAAACACATTAAAGGTGTTTATCGGCTGAAATTCGTATTTAAATCAGTTTGATTTATATTGTGCAACGTATATTTGTAAAGTCTTTGTGCATAGTATATGTTCTGAAAAGAGGAAAACAATAAGTCATTTTATGAATGCTGTAATATTTAAATATTTTCCATTAAAAACGCATCAAAGTCATGTGACCATCAGGAAGAACGCAGCATCTCATTTCTCACAGGACGCGTTCTCTGTGTCTCCGGAGTTTGTTATTCCGAGGACACCTGGCAAGACCGATCATCACAAGAACACAAGTCCATTCTCAGTGTTCTCAGAATTAAGAAACAGCCTCAGTTTCTGGAGGGCCACAGCTCTGCACAGTTTAGTTCCAACTCTAACTAAACACACCTGATCAAACTAATTAAGTCCTTTAGGCTTGCTTGAAACCCACAGGTTAGTGTGTTAGAGCAGGGTTGGAACTGGAGTTGGACTTTGACACCTCTGCTCTAAATGCATATAAAGGCATCTCACCATCGTTTTAAGTAGTTACCCAAGTAGTAATTACTGTAATAATGACAATAAAACCTACAATCGGTCAATGCAATGATATTTTTTAGTACTATTAATACAGGTGTGCCTTACAGTTTTGCATTTACGAGACTTTTCACAGATTTACTGGCATACTTTAACATAAGTTCACTTCAAAACATCAGTCAAGTGTTCGAAGTAACTCCTTTTTGTGACCAGACCAATATATTTATTATATCATATATATTAAGAAATATATATGAGCGGCAGCTTGGCTCAGTGGTTAGCACTGTCACCTCGCAGCAAGAAGGTCACTGGATTGAGTCCAAGTATTTCCTAGAACTAGGTTGCAGCTGGAAAGGCATACGCCACGTAAAACATATGATGGAATAGTTGTCGGTTCATTCCACTGTGTCAACCACTGATACAGTAAATAAGGGACTAGGCTAAAAGAAATTGAATGAATGTAAAGTATGTGAAAATAATACTTTTCTTTAAAGATACAGGACTTTTTGTCTCTCAGTGGACACTTGTGAATTATAGTGTCATTAATACCATTAGCGCAATGCACACCAGAACATATTGTAATATATTTTTAAGCTCATATCTCCCATTCCTCATTGTAATTTTATCTAATTACACTTATTTTACATGTATTTCAACTACAAAGTAAACAATGCGCCACAGTGTGCAACTCACCAATATGTCGGCCATACATTTCTGCGCCACTTCTTGGAGGTTTCTGCGAGAGTTAAAAAATAAAGTGGTTACTGTAAACTTTTATGCAAATTAGCCATTAAAAATGTACATTATCTTTTAAAATGACACTTAGCACTTGCTTTTTGGAAAAGAAAAAACACTAATAATGTCATCAGCCTAAAATAGAAAGAAGACACTGTCCTTGTTTATCAGAGAGGACAGAATAAGCATTTAAAGGTTAAACAGTTAATGCGAGTTTCCTTTCAACATGTTCAACATGAATTATTGTCAGCTATATACAAGATGACTTTAGTGCATTAAATGCGGGAGCGTTTAATATGGACTCTAAATCAGACGTCTGCCAGGGCTGTAGCTATGAGATATGAGTTTGCTGTGCTCTGCTGAACAAGGTGGCCTTGAGTTTGAGCCAAGAAGTGAAGCTCAGAAATCCTCATAATAACACCCACACATACCTTTACCTTACTGATAAGCATTTCATTTAAAAGCCCATTCACACCTGGAACAATATTTTTTTAAAGAGTCTGTATTAGCATACACAACGATAAACAATATTCATCTATTTATTCAGTGTGCTGCAGTTTGGTTGTCTGTCATTTTAAATAATTCCACTCAGCTTAAATTATTGGCAGTGAATTGTACACTTGAGGGAAAGACCTTATTAAACTAATTCCAGAAATATTTAGTTTTTTATTTTCATTATCAGTATATTTGTACACTATCGTTTTTTTATTGTCTGAATTATTTTCTTAATATTTTAAGTACATTTATATCATTGTAGTTATTGTATTTGATGTGAACAGCCCTTAATTTACCATTATGGAAGGGAGTCTCTGTGCATTTGCAGGTGACTACCAAAACTTCCGGGAGACTTTGGATGTCTGTTGAATGATCTCCCGCCCTACTCATAATTCTCTCTTCATACAGCCGTAAGCATATGACATATCCATAAAACACTGTGATATAACCGGGCTCGGATCGGTTTTTTCACACTACAATCGATCCGCTCCAGAGTTTGTTTCAATCGAGCCGAGACCACCTCATTCAAGCGATCCCAGAGCGGTTGTTTTGGCGCGGATCCGAGTACGATTGGTGGTTTCTAGGGTTGGGCATCTACGCTATAATGCCGATCCGATACGCATCTCGATACAAAGAATACAATCCGATATATTAGCGATACATTTGTGACATATTGCGATGCAACACGATACGATTCACACCCATATCACGATACAATGCGATAATTCAGCACTAACTTATTAGATCAAATTTATGAGATGATGTAAGAAAGGATGCTGTGCCATTGAATGAGTTTGATTATTTATTAACAAAGCAAAACCAAGACTTTTTTTACAAACTGGCTTTTCTCTCAGAGCCAGAGTGTCAGTTTACAGTAGAGGGCCATTTTAGAACCTATAGCACATAATATTTAAGGATTTTCAAGATAAACAGAATGTATATGTGCAATATATATTAAAAATACATATATTTGCACTCTTTCAACATAAAGGTTTATCATTGCACAACAAGAATTGTGATTTAACCTTTCAACTATGAAAACAAGTTTTACAAAGATATATTGTGCCACTGAATATTCAAAACTTAATGTCGTGAACTAGCAGTGTTATGCTGCTTTAAAACATCACTGTCAAATAAGGTCAAGAATCTTGGTGTGACTCTGGAGTCAGATCTGAGTTTCAACAGTCATGTCAAAGCAGTCAGTAAATCAGCATACTATCATCTCAAAAACATAGCAAGAATCAGATGCTTTGTTTCTAGTGAAGATTTAGAAAAACTTGTTCATGCTTTTATCAGCAGCAGGGTGGATTACTGTAATGGACTCCTCACTGGTCTTCCTAAAAAGACAGTCAGACAGTTGCAGCTCATCCAGAACGCTGCAGCCAGAATTCTAACCAGAACCAGAAAATCAGAGCACATCACACCTGTCCTCGGGTCTTTACACTGGCTGCCAGTTACATTCAGAATAGATTTTAAAGTATTATTACTGGTCTATAAATCACTAAATGGCCTAGGACCTCAATACATGATACAGATATGCTCACTGAATACAAACCTAACAGATCACTCAGATCTTTAGGATCATATAAACTAGAAGTTCCAAGAGTTCAGTCAAAGCAGGGTGAATCGGCTTTTAGCCACTATGCCCCTCGCTGCTGGAATCAGCTTCCAGAAATGATCAGATGTGCTCCAACACTAGGCACATTCAAATCAAGACTGAAAACACGTCTGTTTAGCTGTGCCTTTACTGAATGAGCACTGTGCTGCGTCCGACAGATTGCACTATCATGTTTTTCTCTTCTTCTTCATTCTTTCATATCACATTTTACCTGTTTTTATGTTTTGTTTTGTTTTTATGCATTTTTATTATTTGTTTTTATTTTTATTTTACTTGTTTCTTTTATTCTTGTTTATGTAAAGCACTTTGAATTGCCATTGTGTATGAAATGTGCTATATAAATAAACTTGCCTTGCCTTGCCTTGCCTTGTCACTGTAAACAACAGGCTAATAAAAATATAAATAAATAAAAATTAACAGGAGGAGTAGTTTAAAACCTTCGTTCTCCGTGACACTAGGCTGAAAATCTTTGCAGATGAACAATGCAATAGCATTCGTTATTGCCGTAGAGCGCACAAAACTGTTGCGCATGGAAAAAACTTGCAATGCTTTTCTCACCACTTTTGGAGCTGGTAGCTACAGTTGAAGCAGAGCAGGAAGCCGGGGATGCAGGAACACTAGAAGATGCTTCCACAACAATACCGAGGCGCCGCTTCAAGTGAGATATCAGATTAGTCGTACTGCCCGTGTATTTTACAGATGCGCGGCACATTTTGCAAATTGCATCTGTCCTAAAAAGTCGTCCATCTTTTTTGCAAAATCCATAATGTTGCCATACTTAGATTTAAAACTCAGTGGGAAATAAAATGTTTGTTTTGCTTCTCGCACTTTCTGAGGGCGCTCCACTAGCTTCATCCGCACACCTGATACACTGAGTTGTAGTGTAAGTGTACACATCCGCAAGTCCGTTGCTAAGGCATACTTTATGTAGGTCGAATAAATAATGCGCCAAAAACAGATTGACAACACTTGCTAATAAATAAAAAATACATTCTATATTAAAAATATGAGTTGTATCTTGGAAAAACCGATGCATCTCGCAAAAACCAATGCATTTCTATTTGCTTCCAAAATTTCATTCATCCTCTGCTGCTCTACAGATGCACTCGCATCGTGCACGTGCATGACCGCGTATCGATACATATCGGTTAATCTTCCCATCCCTAGTGGTTTCACATATGCCAAATGAACCGCGCTAACTGGGCAAACGAGACAGGTTCTGAAACAAAAGTGTAGGTGTGAAAGCACCCAGCTCGAGGTCCTTTGCCGATCCTTCCCCTCTCTCCGCTCCCAATGTTTTCCTGTCTGAAATCTCTACTGTCCTATATCATAATAAAGGTAAAAACCCCTAGAACAAAACTATTAAAATAAATAAATAAATAAAATAATCACACTAGCAAAATTTTGGTGAACTTGCTCCAATTTCTAACTTCAGAATCTGCTTGTACTGACAAGATGTATAAATCTTATTATGACCCTATTATGACCGCGTATTAACATGTCTCTGTAGTAACGCTTAAATTCATATCAACAAGACAGGACGTGCGCAAAGCAACAGGGATTGAAAGATCTGTTAAGCTCTCTATGATCATCAATCATCATCAAATGTCAACAAGAATAATTTTACAAGTTTAAAACGTTTTTAAAACAGTGCTTGTTTGTAATGATTACAGCAATTTTACCGTCTTCACTGCCACTGCAGCATGTTAGTACAATTATAAAAGACTCTTCAATCCCGGTAGGTTTATTTTGTATATTAACATAAATATCCATACAGCAGAGGATATTAATGCGTATCCTGTCACATTTGCGTGCAAAAACATTGCAAAGTTAAACACACGTGTGTGAACTTTGTAACAACATTGCGTGTGACTCATCACTGCAAAAAGGCTTGAATTAACTCCACAACAAATACATTAAATAACCATTGGGAAAGCTCTTACTGTAGTATATCTAACAAACGTTACGTGAGATCTGCTTTCCTTTATGTCTGTCACTGTGCTGTTTATCTGATGCAGCCGAGGCAGACATTAAGGCACACTCTGAACTGCACGTGAGAACAGTGGGCAGGGAGAACTAGCATTAAAGGGTCAGGCAACAAAACCAACTACATTGTGTTCGCAGTATTTTAATGTTCTTAAAGCTATAATAAATAATCTGATGGGTGTTTTGAGCTGAAACCTTAAAGACACATCCTGGAGACACAAAAGACTTATCTTAAATCTTAAAAAAACGAAGTAAAATAGGTGCCCTTTAAATGATGGATGTTTATTATCTGTAGTTAAATTAAAATGAGGGAGCAAATTCTTTTAAAATGGCCAGAATTGACTAAAATCATGGATTACATATGTGGGAATGAATCATTCTTGACACAAATGCTCCAGACAGCATTTAAGATTTGATTGTACATAATGAAATTACGCTGCACTACAAATACTAATTAGGCTAGGAGCTCGTTTTCTTCTGTTTTATATTTATGAATAACACTGGGTGCTTCTTAAAATATATAAAAATTATGACAGAGATTTTGTCAGGGGAAAAGATGGAAGATGGAAGTTTTAAAGTACCTCATTATAGCATATTTAATTGGACTGTCCCAAATCTGATATAAAAATACACACAATAATTATAAATCAAAATATGTTGTGTATTGTGTGCAGAAATACAAAGAGTAATTTCCTTACTTCACATCTATCGTCGTTTAAAGCATTGCAAGAAGGCACTGTGAGAGGAAAAACAAAGTTTAGCTGTGAGCATTTACAAAATAACAAAAGGCTTGAAAGAAGTACGTCATGTCTGCTCTATTTAAATTAATTAAACTGAAGATATGCAATCCAATTTATAATTAACAAAATTATTGATACAATTTCATGTTATAGGTGTGTGTTTACAGTCATCAACAGAGATGCTCTCGTTTGGCTAACACGCCAGCGTTGTTTTAGTTATATCGAGAATGTGTATGTCGCCGACTCACCAAAGGAGAGTAGGGAGCAGCAGAAATATATGACATTGTGTCCAGCAGTGTATCTAGACATGTCTTTGTGGGGCTCAGTCTGTCAGTATCACGCCCGTTGCAGAAACATGGAGCACAAATGAATTCGTCAGATTCCAGAAATAAATCTGATACGGCGCGCAACCTGGTGGTCAATGGTAGTATATCACCATTACGTCAGCTTTATCAGTATGCTCCTGCACAACCGGACAGGCTTAAACGCGTTTCTAGGACCCTATTTATAGCTCAGTTGTTTCTGTTCCATCTTGAAGTGGGTGAAAGATATACATAATATATTTGAAGTTAAAGCTTACCTTCCTCATTCATATTAACGGTGTGTTTTGACATTCTGTTTATCTAACCAACCTTTTGTCTCGCTACACTCTCAAAACTCTGGGCTTCTGGTAGTACCCAGAATAGCAAAGTCCACTATAAAGGAGGTTGGCCCTTCTCTTTTATGGCCCCTAAACTCTGGAATACCCTTCCTTATAATGTCAGAGGTTCAGAAACACTCTCTCGATTCAAAACTAGATTAAAGACCTATCTTTTTTAGCAAAGCATGCACACAGTGCACCACATAAGAGCATGATGCATGAGTGTGCTCAATGTATGCGAGTGGGCTTGACAAACCACCTGTAGGACACAGTCCTCCAGACATGCACCAGAAATTTTGTTAGAAACACTCCTGCTTTACATGTTTGTTTATTACTGCTATTTTCATATATTTCATTTCATTAATCTTTTTGCACTGATATTTCAATTTAATAGAACTATGTAAAGCTGCTTTGAGACAATCTATTGTAAAAGCACTATAAAAATAAAGATGAATTGAACTGAACATTCAAAGTTCGCCACATTTCCTGCTGTGAGGGTTAAACTCAGGGGTTTTGCTCACGTTTATGCCATTGATCGTTTGAACCGAGTAAACATTTATTCAATTAAGTCAGACAATGAGATGTCCAGGAGCTTGCAATTTATTGACATTTCATTGTAACGCCTCATGCATTATGCATCCAAAACAGAGGTCTTGTGGCATACAAAAGACTAACACAATAATTGGAAAACATTATGTGCCCCTTTGAGCAAGTAAAATGATGTTGGAGAACAAATAACAGACATTTGGCATTTTTAAAAAATCAAACAGTTTTGAATAACACAAATTATTTCATGTTATGTCTAAAAAATAATGCTCGTATGTGTATTTGGTGAAATGGCCCCCAATATATTTTTGACTGTCTCGCCTGTAGTTTGCTATTAAGAAATAATTGAGTCTAACATTTCTTTTTATTAACAAAAAAGCATTTGCATTAAACACCTACTTTGTGTTAAATGTAATTTCATTGACTTAAAAAATAAATAAATGTTGTGTGTGTCTGTTACGCCATTAACAAAATGAATAACAATCTATGACTTGCTACAACTGATTGCACTTCCTCTGGCGGGAAATTCAGGAAGGCACTGAGGCATGTCATTGTATAAGCACAATTTCTCGCCACACAATATTTTAATTTGGAACAACTGTAATATTCTACATAATGGGAAATATTTATTGTTTAAAAACTGGTTCAATAATGGGGTGATATTAGTGAACCAGTTATTTGACAGTCATAGTAATTTACTTACTCTGATTTTACTTTAAAACATACTCTGCCCATATCTAGAAAATAATTTAATACTGTTTATAAGACTATCTTATTGGAACAAACTTTTTGATGATATTAAAGGGTCGTATGTTTGGTAATTTCCCTATAAATTTTAAACACATAAAATTAAAGAAATGTCTAATTTAGATTTTATCCAGTTAAACAATTTTTACAGAAATTTAAAAATGACATTGGCATCTCTTGCTCTTTCTGTGAGACTTCTTCTGAGTCTGTTGCTCACTTGTTTTGGAAATGTGCCTTTGTTAAATCTTTCTGGTCTGATGTGAATTCTCTAATCGTCCAAAAAGTTTATGGTGATTTTTCTTTAAGCTACATATTGTTTTGGGGTTTTAAATTAAAGAAAAACAATTCCTTAACTCAACTTTTTGTATAAACATAATTGTATTTATTGGAATATTTTTATACATAAATGTAAATATACTCCATGTAAAACAAATTTGGTGTTTTTTATTCAAGAATTGGATCTGTACTTGAAAACCATTATAGACTCTCATAACAAGAAAGCAGTTAAAACTTATAAAACGTGCTGCATTTAATATTCTGCATTAATTTATTTTTCATTTAATTTCCATTTATGTTTTATTTGTTATTATTTTTTATTGTTTCTTCTTTTTCTTCCTCAATTATCTTTCTTTTGCTTTACCATTATTATATGTCTTTAAAATTGTCACGTCTCTTGTTGCAAAAAAGTTATATCTATTGATTGTATACTTCCATCTGTTTGTATTTCTATCTGTCGTAATTGCCTTGTTGTTATTGCAATAAAAAGTAAAACGGCATGCCTTGAGCTTTACTCACTAACGTATAAAAATATTTAGGATACACCAGAATTAAATTAATTATTTGTCAACTCTGTTAATGAGATATTTCAGTGAAATACTTTACTTAAAACACAATAATGATACAGATATAAAATAAAATAAGTAAAATTCAGTTTTATGCCATGTGGTATCCGGTTTGAGGTTAGCATATTGAGCTAAACCACAAAATAGTAGAAAGTCTGTTACTGTCAAGTCCTATGGTGACTAAAAGTAGGCTAAATTAAACATTTGTATTCTGTGCAGGGGTGGACTTAACCAATTAGCGAGGTAAAGAAATATAAACTAAACCTATAAACTATATATAACATCATTTTCTACCATATTTTGTATGGTGAGCGCTAAACATACAATTTAAAAGTAATTAAATATTATTTATTGTACAATCAAATATAATATTATTATATTGTAATAATATAACAATAAAATATCCATTATGGAGCAGTCCAGCAGTAAAATTTATTGAAAATAAAATCATATTTATTATTTTTAGTTGTAAATTCATTTTTAGAAAACTAATCATTTAAAATGTAGAGATTGCATTAATTTAAAGAAAGATTGAGTCATATAAAACAGCAATATAAATAAAAATTAAATAAAAGTAGAAAGGGAGTATTTTAGGACTTGGACCCCATGATTGGAATTACTTAGAGCCCCAAAATCACTAAATCCACCCCTGATTCTGCGCAATTCTAGTTCAAGGAATGGGAAATACCTGAAACGCACACAAAATTCCAGAATGAGTCATACACTATACGTAAAATGAAGTTGCCAATAGAGGGCGCAGTATACCTACTTTACCCTAATTTTTCTCTGTACATCGCCCGTCTCACGACCGCATGGTAATGTAAACAAGCCGCCGGCTAGCCGTAGTGTGATGACGCAAGAGTCTTATTAAAAAACAGTCCGACCTTCCATTGTTGTGAAGGTCTATTAATCATTTCAGGATAGTCATTGATGATAGATCATACACTGATGACTGAATGAAAACCCCGGTATTTCACACACACACACGCGTACACACACACACACACAAACTCGATGTGTCAGATACATATATAACTCATAGAATTTATAATTTATTAAATTTAAATGAAATAATTAGCTCACATTGGTGGCATTACGATATTTGTTTGGATTATATTTACATTGTCCTTAGATACACTTGATATTTGCTCCTCTTTCAATGCATGGGATTATTGGCAATACAGAAAACAATAAGGATGTATATAAGAAAGTATTCAGATTTATGGACTATGTCAACAAATAAATTACATATTGTGATACATTTGAAGAACTTATGACAGCCTGCATTTGAAATAGGCAACAAGTATAGATAATACTTATGAGAAAACATAACATTAACGGGAAAACGAAAAGGAACACAGCGTGAATGCATGTATACTAAAAATATGTGTTTTATAACAATATAACTGCATTTATACATAATTTGGCCGAATAAATTCGCAAATAATTAAATAAACAGATTTTAAAAATAAAATCAATGCTCTACTACAACATATGCATGAAATCAGTGAATTAACGTGTTTGTTTGCATTCGCATGTCGGTCTCATTTGAATGAATAATCAATAGTCAATTTAGTCGTGACCAATAGGTCAGCCAACGCGGTCTACGTAAACCATCACCGGGGAAAGCGGATAGATATCAGGAATCACGGTGAATCTGACCCCCTCAGCAACATGCTCTTTGTTGTCTAGGTAAGCATGGGTAATAGGCGTGGTCACTTTTACAACTCGCTTATGGGCGGAGCTTCTACAACCGGCGCGGCTTCTGATTGGATTAGATTTTAACCCGGTGACTGAGAAGGGATTTTCTAGCAAATAAGAAACGCCCCCCACCCCGTGCCGGGAAATAACTTAAAACAACAAATGTGCACGACTTGCCTGTCAGACACTCACTTATTTCGATACAGAGAGGTTGCTACTGGTGGCTTGATCCTAAAAACAAACTGTCGCGTATCTTTAATAAGACGTTTTGATTATTGAATTCAGATTAGGTCAGAGTGGATTTATTAATTATCCTATGACGAATGCAATAGTTACGTAAAACTATTACAATCTTAGAGTTCTGCATTGACTGCCAGCTGACTGAGGCGAACAGGTGGCACTAAGCGTTTAGTATTAGGGCCAGGGATTCAGATGTCCATTTCTCACAGAGATCTTCTTCTTAGTAAGCAGTAACAGCAGATTTATAGCACAACAGGTTTGGCTCAACAGGCGCGAGGATGATAGACGCTGAAACGGACACGGGGATCGACGGCGGGAGGATGATTACTGAAGATAAAGAAGTCTTGAAACGTGGTGATGTGCTCAAACTTCTTCCACCTGACGCTGACAAAAACTTTTACTTCAAAAAGAAAGTTTCCGACTATCTGATCGGGAGGAAGCTGGGAGAAGGGTCTTTCGCCATAGTGCGAGAGGGGCTTCATGTCATCACCGGCGAGAAGGTGAGAAAATGCCACACTGTTAGAAACATTAACCGCTTCTGGCATGTGCACATTACATTTGTCATATTATGTGATAGTTCACCCTAAAATGGAAATTTTGTCATTATTTACTCGTTGTAAACCCTTTTGAAAGAAGATATTTTGAATGGAAACCTGTAACCATTGACAAATTTCAAATGGGAGTCAATTGGTTTTCAGCTTTCTTCAAAATATCTTTGGTGTTCAACAGAAGAAAGGAGCTCATAAAGGCTTTGAACCACTTGAGGCTTAGTAAATTGTATTTTTGTTCCATTTTTGGTTGAACTATCTCTTTAATAGTGTTTCCTGGTTATATTTAGTGTATTTAATTGTGTGTCATTCTCTTAAGCACGTTTAAAACAAAAGTAGAACATTAAATTCAATGTAAAGTAGACAAAATCGGATAGTTCACCCTAAGATGACAATTTTGTCATTATTTACTTACTTGTTCTAAACCCATTTGGCTTTTTTTCGCCTGTTGAACATGAAAGAAGATATTTTGAAGAAAGATGGAAACCTGTAACCATTAACTTCCATAGTATTTGCTTTTACAAATGGAAGTCAATGAGTTGTCAGCTTTCTTCAAAATATCTTTGGTGTTTAACAGAAGAAAGAAACTCAGGCTTGGAACCACTTGAGGCTTAGTAAATGTTATTTTTGTTCTATTTTTGGTTGAACTATCCCTTTAATAGTGTTTCTGGTTATATTTAGTTGATTTGTTGGGTGTCATTCTCTAAGCACATTAAAAACAGAATTAAAACATTATATTTAATGTAAACTAGACAAAAGAAAGACCTGCTGTTTTTTATAACGCCTATATCATGGTCTGAATATGAAAACTGTTTTGAAAGGATATATTTACCTACATACATCTCAGTAGTGAGATGCACTTAATCTAAACACACATGTATATAGTGTACATTGTATACATGTACAGTGATAATAAAAGGCATTACATTCTATTCTATTAATCCATGCATGACATGACTTTTAATGTTATTTACTACAGTCCATTAACTAATATGTCTGATTATATATTCTCAAGCAAATTAAATATGAAAACAGTACTTGTCCAACTCTAAATACTAATCATTTGAAAACAGTCTAATGCTAACAATGTCTATAGTATTCAATGGTCCACAACTTCAATGCTCTGCTTTATTTGTTTAGCTTTTTGGGGTGTATGTTTTACAATACACATTTAATGTTAATATGTAGATAGATGCTTCATGTCTTAAAAACTACACAGATGTAATTTTGCATCAGTGGTATTTGGGCGAAGAATGCCAGAAAACTCATGCCCTGATCATCAGGTTGCATTGAGATGTTTTTCACTAGTCTCATGTTCCTCATCACGAAGATTACATTAAGTGACAGAGGCAATCCTGTTTGCATTCAGGTGTCTGTGTTAACCTTAGATTACTCCAGCCTTTTAGAATGAACGGAGAGACATGCTTTACAAATGAGGTCTGGTTTCTGAAAATGTACAGCAATGAATTATTGCATCTATAGACTAGGGTGTGATTTTCCTCATAACTAGCTGCTGTCTTCCTTTGTATAGTTCTACTGGGTGCAGCTCTGTTTGCAGATTTAAAAAAAAAAATAGTTTGCTCTTCCAATAGCATGAACTGAAATACCTTCTTAGCATATCAGGGATTTGTTCAGCCCTCTTGCCCACTTTCACTGTTGCTGTGGAAAGGAGAAGAGGTCTGTCCCGAATGATGATGCAAACGCTAGCAATCACAAAGAGAAGCCAGGCTGCCTCGTGCTTCTCTCGCCTCGCTCTCGTTCTCTGACATCACCTAGAAAAACAGACAGGGTGGGGCGGGGCTGGCGGACGGTGGGCGACAGCACATGCTTTCCTCATGTATGTTGTGAGCATAGCTAACCCACTTTCGCCCCTCGCCGCCTTTGTCTGCCAGAGAGAAAAACAACATGTTAGTCTGAAGCTCTGGGGGTCCCCCCCATCACCCCCCTTTATCCATCGACCACCAATAAGCCTCTTCAACAACGCTGGCGGTTGAGATCCAGTAATATTGCGTTAGCAATTTAGGGGATTGTTTGGGAAGGGGGCTCAGCCCCGTTTTTCACAATACCTCATTTTACTTGGACCTTCGTTGAAGTAATTGATCCAATTATATGCTCAATTGGCCATGTATGACAGTGACAGTTTTGCTAAACACTCTGTTTTTTTTGTGCCTCATGATCAATGTTGTCACAGCAGGTCACCCCTTGAACATGCTTGGGTTTTCTAAAAGGGTGGCTATTGTTAAAGCAGACATATGGACTTTAAACCTAGGACAAAGAAATCTTGCTTGATAGAGAACAAAGACCCTCCCCTCTCATCGAAATTGAAAGAGTAAATGAAATGAGATCATTCATTTAGTTTTAGATATATATGGCATATTACCTTGAATGTCCCTGAACGTTTTTTATTTTATTTTAGGGCGTAGAGTTCAGTTCGACCCAACGTTTATTCAGCATTAGTGGTTTACGACATGTTGGTGACAAATGGGTGGCATTAACAAGCCATTTGGAGATTGTTCCTTCAACTGGAGGCATTTGGAGGGCTACACAGCGGTCATTTGTCCTTATCCGTCCGCCATTGAATCCTCAATAGCATCTCAGGGTCAAACATTCAATCCTAGAGACGTGAGGAGAAAGGCAAATGTGAAATAAGTGTTCTGTCTGACTTTGTCTGGCTCGCCTCACCTGTTCCCGGCTGCTCGATTTATTAGGAAAGCATTAAGCACTCCTGTTGACAAAAACGTCCTTTTTATATCCTCCTCACAGGTGGCGGTGAAAATAATTGACAAGAAGAAGGCTAAAAAGGATTCATACGTCTTAAAGAACCTGCGGCGTGAAGGAAATATTCAGCAGATGATCCGGCACCCGCACATCGCCCAACTGCTGGACATAATGGAGACGGAAAACAGGTTCTACCTCGTCATGGAGCTCTGTCCTGGAGGAAACCTCATGAACTACATTTACGAGAACAAAAGATTGGAAGAAAGAGAAGCCAACAAATATGTCCGCCAGCTAGTGATGGCCGTGGAACACCTGCACAGAGCAGGAGTTGTTCACAGGTGAGTTTTAAAAGTCAGTCGCAATCTCAAACATTAAATCTGAACACTAAGAAACAATGTGTAGAAACTTCATAGTGTATTTAAGATACAACTTTCCATTTTAAAGTACAATATCTTTGAGTACGATGAAAATTGTATGATGGAATGCAATCTTTGTCTATTTTAACAGAGACTTGAAGATTGAAAATCTCCTTCTTGATGACCATGACAACCTAAAGCTGATCGGTAGGTTTTTATATTATGATATGTTTTATGTTAAATGCTCCCAACAGCCCTAAAGACCTAAAGAGAAGTGACATGGAAATGTTCATCTTTAGAATGCAGTGTAGACTGATTGAGTAATCAGGATCTCATTAAAACCAAACGGCCTCTCACCTTACTGCGAGAGGCCTGGCAAATAGGCATAGCTTTTATTTAGCAGATGTGTGTGACAGACAGGGTTAGTGTTGGGCAGCAATAAACCCTTTACATCCCCCTTCCCTCCTTCCATGAGCCAGTACACACAACAGTTATCTTACGCACAATTCTTTCTGTTTACAGATTTTGGCCTAAGTAACTCGGCGGGAATTCTGGGATACTCGGATCCCTTCAGCACACAGTGTGGCAGTCCAGCATATGCCGCCCCTGAGCTTCTCTCAAGAAAGAAATACGGCCCCAAAGTTGATGTTTGGTCAATGTGAGTTTTAAAAGCACACCGTGTTTGAAGTTTGTGTTGGCTGTGTATCTCTGAATTTGACTCTATGTATGCGTTCTATTACAGAGGGGTGAACATGTACGCTATGCTGACTGGTACGCTGCCATTTACAGTGGAGCCATTTAGCCTGAACGCTTTGTATAAGAAGATGATAAACAAGGAAATGAACCCCCTTCCTTCGAATATCAGCTCAGGTATTGGCAAAACTCAATCTCTTGATATTTTCTAGATCTTGAAGGTCGCATTTAAACAGGAATGAGCAACTATTAACATGCTGAAAATAAGCTTATGTTCTGCTACCAATTACACCCTAATAGGCATCATGCTCCAAAAGTTGAACATGAATGCAGTCTTTGTGTCAGTCTCCTGGTTTAGCAATGCTTTTGAATGCTAAAATAAAACAATAGGAAGGGTCTTTGGCCAACTGGTGTTTTAAATCTCATCTGAGGACATCTTAAGATCCAGGTTTCCGAGCTAAATGCCAGCAATGCAAAACAAGCCCACATGCCAACAGAGTCAAACTCTCAAAACATTAAGTGCGAAATCATCAGGTCATAAACACTGTTTACCGCAAATATGCCAGACAAATGGCTGCTGATTATTTCAACAGGAAAATCCGGTTTTAGTCAGAAGAAGAAATGATAGGATGCGCTTTGCTTTGATTTCACAACTCCATGTCAGCTTTCCATTGAAGGGACTTTCCATAGTATGTAATTTAGCAATCATCTTACCATTGTATTTCACCTATGGTGCAAGCAGAATCCCAGATAAAATTCTCTTACTGAGAAGTTAGTCAGCTAATCACATTCGGTGGACTTTTCCATTTGCGTACATTTACCTGAACATTCTCAATAACAGGTGATTCATTCACAACTAAATCTGTGATGGGATATGATACAACAAGATGATGCGGTACAAATAAGATTAGCCTCATTATATAACAGATATTGAGCATCCCAAGTACGTAAGACTCTGCCCTCGTTCATTGACTTATGCGAGATAAAAGGCTGAATCATGAACATGATGCATCTGCCCTAATTAATCAGATAAACCTGACTGACCAAGAACGTACTATTTCCTCTCTATGTTCACAGATGCTAAACATTTGCTGGAAGTGCTTCTAGAGCCTAAACCTGATTTGAGACCTAACATCCATCAAGTGTTATCTCACCCGTGGCTTCAGTTGGGAAACCCTCACACTGGAGCTCCTTTATTTAATAGGTAAGTCATCTGATATTCTCACACTTAGATTACTTTTGATGTCCCAGTCAACTAAAAGTGTCTGGATGTAATTCTCAGGATCCACATTACGGAAATCAACAAGTCTGTTTTGTGCCACATGACTGAGAAAATGGGCTACTCACACAGCGCTGTACTGAATGCATTGCTCACCAACAAAGCTTCCACCACGCTAGCTGTGTACTTCCTCCTCAACAACAAGATGAACAGACTCTCAAAAGAGTGCAAGGTAGGCATGAGGAACCAATGTGATCTTCATAATTATCATTCATACAGTGTTCCTGAGAGTGTAACATTCTCTCTTTTTAGCAGGACAAACAGCGGCAAAACTTGGATAATAGAGAGAATAAGCCTGAGATCATTCAGACCCAGTGTTTGAAATACATTGATACGGTCACGATTCCACCTAAAGAGACACCCGTCTATCTGGCTTCGGGTAAAGACCCCATAAAGAAGAAACAGAAAACTGGTGAGCACCTATAAAATGTAGACATGTGTGAACCAACCTTGTGGTTCAGTTGTTATCCATCACATGATTCATGCGTGACTTAGGCAAACGTGACAATAATTAACTGACAGAATCAGGACAATTCGAATGTATTCAATGGTACAAATAAAACCTTCTTTAATATATCTCTCTGTTGAAGGCACGTTTAATAAGCTCTGTTACCTGAGGCATAATTCCTACCTTTGTGTTTGGCAAATGGTTTGACAGTAAATCAAACTGAGGTGAACATAAAGCCTTCAGGGATGTTCAGGTTGTTATCACACAGAAAGATCATCCAAGTCTGAAGATTAAAGATGACTTCATAAGTCAAGTGTAGAGAAAACCTTGCTGGTTTGCATTTTTAGAACCTGGAAATGTGAAAAGGATTCATTTGCCAGAATAGAAAGATAACCTTGAAAGCATACCTGCCAACATTTGTCCCTGAAAATCTAGGAGACAGGAGGGGCGGGGGGGGGGGGGGGGGTTGTTCGGGGGTGAGGTGTCTGAATAACACCCTTGAGAACCGGGTAACTGTACTGTGGTGATAGTCACTATATTGTGGGATGGCTTTCAGGCAGCCGCTTAATACTATATCTAAGTTGACAGCCCGGGGGTTTTAGACTGTACCAAAATGCTAAGGACCAAGGGGGGGTTGTTCAGGGGTGAGGTGTCTGAATAACACACTTCAGAATCGGGTAACTGTGGTGCTAGTCACTGTACTATGGAGCGAGTTACTATACCAAAGTTGGCACCCGGGTTTGCTAGACTGTACCAAAAAGCAGAGGACCGAGGTGTGGGGGGATGGGTGAATTTATGGGAGTTTTCAGGGAGAAATAACAAAACTGGAGGGTGTCTGATATAACCCGGGAAAAACAGGAGTGTTGGCAGATTTGCTGGGAACACATTTTAGCAACTACTTGTCTAAATAAAGCTAGAACTGCTCTGTATTAAACTCTTCTTCTCTTGATTGCAGGTCTGCTGAAAGCCGTGAAAGGAGGATTTAAAGATGCTTACTCAGGAAATGGCGGTTGTATCACCTCGTCCTCCTTAGAGTACCTGAAGATTCACCGCCTACACCCAACCCCAGAGCCAATCCTTCCTACTCCCGAGACTCAACCACCCGAACAATGCAGCTCCAAAGATCCCCCAAAAGCTGAGAAAATTCCTGCTCGTCCACCTTCTTCCCTCGGCTCTCATTCCTGGACATCCGAGAGCAAGGAACCGAGCAAAGACTCTCCTCCATCACCATGGTACAAGCTGACCAATGGAGCGCTCTCTCCACCAAAACACGTCTCTGCTTTCCAGCCTGAGAGCTCCTACTTGAAAAAGGCTACAATCCCTAGCCCGCCTGTTCTCGTTGTCAGACCTCAGCCCAGGAAAAATGCTCCCAGTTCAGACTCTATGAGCTCCTCAGACTCAAATGGAAGCCCGCTCAGCAGCAGGGGAAGCGAAGAACCACAGAGTCCTCCAATCAGAGGCAATAAGCTCACTCCAAAGGACTTTAAGCAGATTTTGAGGGCAAGGTTTCCTTTGCGGATACAGAACTTCCCATTCAAACCGGAGTCTGGGTTGAGAAGGAAGAGCTTCTTCCCGAGCGATTTTAAAACCCGGAGTTGAGGATTAGAACTTTTATATCATACAAAGTCAGATGTATGCAGTATCATGTTATCTCACAAATAATGCTCACAGTTTGTACATATGTGACCATGGACCACAAAAACAGTCATTTTTAAATTTGAGATCAATACAATTATTGAAAACAGAACCAATAAGCTTTACATTGATGTATGATTTGTTACAATATGACAATATTTGGCTGAGATACAACTATTTGAAAATCTGGAATCAAGTCCTTGGCATTGCACATTACTAATCAATCATTTACAGTAGGAAGTTTACAAAATGTCTACATGGAACATGAATTTAAACTAATATCTGGTTTGATTTTTGGCACGAAAGAGTCATTTTGACTCGTACAATGTATTTTTGGCTATTGCTAAAAGTATTCCTGTCCAACATGAAACTGGTTTTGTGGTCCAGGATCACATTCACAGGCTTCTAGCACGTAGACAAAGCCCTCAAGGAGTTACATACAGAACATACAGGCTCTGAACACTGTGTAAAGCTAGATCTTTAGGTCACGTTGCCCCAGGACAGCAGACACTGAATGTTGAGTTCACATGCCGAAGCATGTTCAACACGCTTCTAGTGCAATGGCCATGTAGTAGCCAAGCCTTTGACGCACAATTGTTCTGGGAAACAAAGCTGTCACTGCCCACAATAATGTATGTACTTTGCTGTTCACATAATGTACTACAACTTGCTGTTCACATAATGTACTACAACTGAGACTGTTATTGAACGATTGGAGGAGTTGTTTTGATAGCGTGCATTTATTATAGCGTGCTTACTTTATTCAACCTCAAATTGTAATGGCACTCAGGTCAGCAATGCTGATTTCTTTTCCAAAAGCCTCACTTTTACACCTGTAGTGAAAGCGTGAGTGTTTTACGGGAAGACGACGACATTCCTCGTGTTTTCCTCTCTCTAGGGGGATTGCTGGCATTTTGTATAGCCTTAAATATCTTGCATTCGGCCTTTAAGCTGCGATGGAAGATTTTCGGTATTATTTGAACTCTTAATGTTTAAGATTCATCGCATCATGTTGGGTGAATTGTGAATTGTGCAATAGTGTGTATATATTTGATGGGTGACCTGTGTTTTCTCTCCATTGTTCGAAAGAGATTCTGTACATAGAACACAAGTGTCTTTCATTCCATATGTTTAATGGTGGTTCATACTGTCTCTTCACGTTAGACTCACAAAGCAGACCTCTTTCACAGTCTTCACATGCACAGAAGACTATGAGCTGTGAACATTTTTCTGATCCTGATTTCACCTTTGCATGCACACTAGGAGTTAAAAAAAACCGTGCTGTCAGTTTTTTGGTGACAAGTCTTTGTACTTTTGTTACGGTGAAGATGAATTTGAAGGTCTTTTTGTACGTTTTGTACTGATTTGCTTTTTTTGCCAAGATCAAGGAGATTTTTAAACTAAAAAAGATTTTGAATATTTATATCGAAAGATTATTATTTGTGGGTGGGATTTTCTATTTTATATCGGCATGTATTACTTTTTTGACACGCAAATAAAATGCACAAACCTAAATACTGATTTTGAGTTTTATTTTTTGTTTGATTGATTCAATTCAGTTCATTGTTATTTCTATAGCACTTTTACAATATAGATTGCATCAAAGCAGCTTAACATAGAAGTTCTAGTAAACTGAAACTGCGTCAGTTCAGTTTTCAGAGTTGAAGCTCAGTTTAGTTCAGTTCAGTGTGGTTTAATTTACACTGCTAAAAGTCCAAACACTGAAGAACAAATCTATCGATGTACAGCTCCACAAGTTCCAAACCAAGCAAGCTAGTGGCAAAGAACAATTTTCACCAGTTTACTGTATGGCCGGGTCACGGGGGCAGCAGTTTAAGAAGAGAACCCCAGACTTCCCTCTCCCCAGACACTTTCTCCAGCTCCTCCGGGGGCTCCAGATGCGTTCCCAGGCTAACTGATAAAAATGGTTCCTCCAGCATGTCCCGGGTCTTCCCTGAGGACTCCTCGTGGTGGGACATGCCTAGAACACTTCCCTAGGTAGGCGTCCAGGAGGCATCCGAAACAGATGCCCGAGCCACCCTAGCCTATCGCGATGTGAAGGAACAGCGGCTCTACTCCGAGCTCCTCCCGGGTGGCAGAGCTCCTCACCCTATCTGTAGGGTGCACCTTGCCACCCTGCGAAGGAAACTCATTTCGGCAGCTTGTATTCGGTTTCACGTCCTTTCGGTCATGACCCAAAGATTCATTTTCCACCGCGGAATGAACCACCAACTATTCCAGGATGTTTTACGCAGCGGTTCTAGTACATAGAAGCTCTTGTACATTGAGACAGAGTCAGTCCAGTTTTCAGAGTTGAAGTTCAGTTCAGTGTGGTTTAAATTTCACTGCTGAAAGTCCAAACACTGAAGAACAGATCCATCTATGTGCAGCTCCACAAGTCCCAAACCAAGCAAGCCAGTGGCAAAGAACAAACTTCACCAATTGACAAAAGTGAAGGGAAAAAAAAACCTTGAGAAAAACCAGGCTCAGTTAGGGAGGACCATTTCTCCTCTTGACAATCTTCCCGTGCAGATCTGCAGTCTAGACGCTGAAGAACGCTGGACGTCCAGTGCATAAAGAGGCTTTAAATAAAAGCGTTTACGATGATAACTAAACAATTTGTCACAGAAGCAGGTGACTTAGTGTAACACTGTACGCTTTTCCCATGAGAACTATGCAAAGACCATTAAATGAGTGACAGCTGAAAGATAATCCAGTCAGCTGCACCCTCACATCCACAAACAGTCATATTATACACCCTCCCGTGCCCCCGTATAGGAGACACAGAAGGGGGGATGACCCACAGACACAAACACACACACACACACACACACACAAACACACACTCTAGCCCAGATAAGCCTGTGTGGTTAATCTGATAAAAGCTGAAGGACACAACAGTCTCCTTCAGTATATTAGAGCAAAATTCTTTGTTTACAAAGGATGACACTGATTGAAAATCCTTAGAGGCTCAAGTGGTGAAAAACAAGGAATAATAAAAAATCCACGGCTTACCGAATCATCTAATGTAACAACAACTTGAGCTAAGGACGTATTGGCTGTAAGATAAACACTGCAAAAACTGCTGGGTTCCACACAATCAACTTGTGTTAGAAAAGTGAAATGAAGTTTACTTATTAGGTTTTTACAAATTTAAGTGAATTGAACATAAAACAATTAAGTTGCCCCCCCCCCCCCCCCCACCCAAAAAAAAATAAAAATTTAAGAATAGTGTTGTTTCAACTCATTATAAATAAGTAGTTTGAACAAACAGCTAACTTTTTTGAGTGTAGAAACGTGGAACTACATTTGAACCAAATTTTAAACAAAGATTTTAAACAAACATCTGATTTAACAGTTTGCCTTTATAACCCTTTAAATAAGTATTGACAGCTCTGTATCTTAGGGTGCTTTCACACCTAGACTTTTGTTTCGGAACCAGTCTCGTTTGCCCAGTTAGCGCGGTTCATTTGGCATATGTGAAACCACCAATCAAGATCGGATCCGTGCCAAAACAACTGCTCCGAGATCGCTTGAATGAGGTGGTCTGTGCTCAGTTGAAATGAACTCTGGAGCGGACCGATTGTAGTGAGAAAGCGATACTATCCAAGCATCCACTTGGATGATGCAACGGCAGCCACAAGACAACGGCGCCAGCGCGCTCATCGCACACCAGCTATTGGTGGAGTGGAGGGACAGTGATAGAGCCAATTCAGTGGATGGGGATGATTGGGAGGCCATGATGGGTAAGGGCCGATGGAAAGAATTTGGCCAAGACACCGGGGTTACACCCATACTCTTTACGAGAAAAAGCCATGGAATTTTAAATGACCACAGAGAGTCAGATCCTTGGTTTAATGTCTCATCCGAAAGGCAGCGCCCACTGACAGTATAGTGTCCCTGTCACTATATACTGGGGCATTGGGACTAACACAAACCACAGGTTGAGCGCACCCTGCTGGCCTCACTAACACCACTTCCAACAAAAGCTCAATCAACAGCAAATATGAAAGCAACTTTCAGAAATTTGGGTTACAGTAATTATCTGTGTTATTAAACATTATACAAAAACTCAACTCAGGTAAATCTGAATTGAACTCAAAATATTGGTCTGCCAAAGCCAGTACAGCAGGATACATTGGTCAACAACAAATATAGTAGGAAATACTACAGTATTCTTTGAAGTGCCACTGACAATCCATGGTTCAATAGAATGAACAAATAAAACCTCAGATAAACAACATTTTATTACACATACATGTTACTGCATTGTTATTTATTGAACAAAATAACAGCCGAAATGGAAAAGTTAGGACACCCTATGATTTAATTGCTTATAGTCATTCTGGAAGAAATTCAGCTCATTCGTCTTTACACATTTGTGGCCATTGGTTTTCTTTAAATGTTGCAACATTGATTTATTTTATTTATATATACAGTGCTCAACATAAATGAGTACACCCCAATTTTAAATATGTATATTTTTATCCATTTCTCAGTGAATATAGGTCATACATTTTTTAGTGCATTTGAACAAAACAATTCTATTAGATGGATTTAATTATTAAAATAATATTTTAGACACCAAACATCATTATAAATAGAAAGATTATACATTTAAAGTCATGCGTAATATTAAAAAAATAATACAAACTTTTTAAATTTTGGGCTAGTATATTAAGTAATTTTGTTAGATCAGCTCCAGATTTGGCTTCATTGATGTCTAATCTAATGTATATGCACAAATGTAATATTGTAAAGCTTCCTATGGAAAATATTCATCTAAATGAGAGATTTGTGAGGGGTGTACTTGTAAATATTGAGCACTGTATTAGTTCTCATGTTTTGTTGTAGATTTGCAGGTGTGATAGGGATCATTGTCTTCTTGGATGACCCAATTTTGGCTCAGATTTAGCTGTCAGATGAACAGCCTCACAGTATATGATTGATGGTTGACTCAATCCTGGTTCTGAAGCTACAGAACCAGCCCAATATCATCAGCCCTCCACCAGCATGCTTAACGTTTGGTGTGAGGTGTTGTCTGTTCTAAAGACATTGTTCTAAAAAAATTTGGTTCATTCAGATTATTTACTGATTATCAGGTGTTTGAGCACCTCCATAAATGCATGTAAATTATAAAATACATGACAGTTCAATTAGAATAAGACAAGAAAAGTGTGGGATGTTTGGGTGAATAGTCTCTCTCTCTCTCTCTAAAAAAAAAACAAAAAAAAAACATGTCAGCATGGTTTAGGTCTGCAAATTTGAATCTGAAAAAATGCAAGCAAGACCAAAATGGAGATGTTGGTTAATGATTGGGCCCACACAGAATCTGCGTGCACTGAAATCTGAAGATTTCCAAAGATTTTTAGCCCATCATATTTATTTCCTTGTGTAAATGTGTGTAAATTAATATTTATTCAGTTTTTAAATTAATTTCAGTTATATTATTGACTAATATGAAAATGTTCAGTTGATTTAATTACAATACAGTTTGTAAAGTAATATTTTCTCTCTTTTAGTATATGTATTATATAAGAGACTTGCTTTGTTTACCAAATAAGTGGATCTAATTGGATTTGCAATGTAAAAATTTAATCAAAAATCAAATTAAATCAAAAATCCTTCCACATAAATCCAGATTTTTTACAAAATTCTGCACATAAATAGCAACAAATGTCTGCAGATTTTGCCTCTCACTAGTAATGATGCACAAATCTTTTTCATTTAGTAAAAGACAAAATCGGCAAAGACACCTCCAGCTAAAAGTCGAGCATGCTGGTGTAGGACTGATTAGTTTGTTTTTGTTTTATAGCCACAAGACCTGAACACCTCACAGTCATTGAGTTGACCATCCATCATAAAGTCAAATGTGAGGCCATCCATCTCACAGCTAAAGCTTGACTGAAATTGGGTCATCCAACAGGACAATGATCCCAAGCACACCTGCAGATCTACACCAAAACACTTTGAGAACTGTTTACTTTTTTACTTTATATTTTAAAACTAGGTTTATCCTAAGTTTGTCACTCGTGGATTTTACACACACAACATTGCTGTTCATCTCAGGTTTTAATCTGCCAATTTTAAACTCTGCAAAGGATCAAATAAAGCTAATACGGACAACCATGGAACGTAATAGGGCGTGCTAACTTTCTCACAAGACTGGAATTCCAGTCAATGTAATTACTGTACCAGAGAACTCTATTTAAAGCAAGTGACTGATTTTAAACAACATCCGATTTATCTTGAATGGTTTCGTTTGATAACTTGATCTTGCTCCAAAAAAGTGATTTCTGTGACTCAGTAGTTAAATCAAATGGAAATCCATGTAAACGTCAATAGCTATCATAACTACTTTATAGATAAAAATTCAACCTACCTAAATTGATCTTATTTTCACATTAAGCTGATTATTTTCACATGATTACCTGATTACTATTTACTTTTCCCCTAAAAACTGTTTAACGGAGAGAAGATTTGTTCAACACATAGTTTTAATAACTCACTTTTAATAACT